TTCTCTCACTCTTTTTTCCCATCAATTTGCTATTTTGTTTTCATTGGTAGATTAATTTTGATTAAATGGTTGGCTTTTAATTTTATTTATATTTAATTATTAATTGCTTGATTAATTTGTTAATTGTTAGGTTAATTTGGCCATTAATTGTTATTTAAATTTTAATTAGGTTTGAATTAGGATCAATTTAATTAGGTTAATTCGACTTAGGGTTAAATTAATTAGGTTAATTTTTACTAATTAGTTGATTTTTATGTTTAATTATATTGCAAATTGTTAATTATTTGTTATCTAAAATCTAATTAGGCTTGAATTAGGGTTAATTTAATTAGGTTAATTTGAATTAGGGTAAATTAATTTGGTTAATTTTGATTAGTTTGTTAATTTGTTAATTATATTTATTTTCCAATTTTTTAATTAATTTTTATTTAAAATTTAATAGGTTTGAATTATGATTAATATAATTAGGTTAATTTTGATTAATTTGTTGATTTTTAATTTTATTTATATTCCAATTTGCTAACTAATTGTTATTTAAAATTTAATTAAGTTTGAATTGGGTTAATTTAATTAGGTTAATTTCAATGAGGTTAAATTAATTAGGGTTTTTTTATTAATTTGTTCATTTTTAATTTTATATAAATGTCAAATTTTTAATTAATTTTTATTTAAAATTTAATCAATTTTGAATTATGATTAATTTACTTAGGTTAATTTGAATTAGGGTTAAATTAATCTAGTTAATTTTGATTAATTAATTTATTTTATTAATTTATTAATTTTGAAATTATTTGTTATATAAAATTTAATTAGGTTTGAATTAGTATTAATTTAATTAGATTAATTTGAATTAGGGTGAAATTAATGAGGTTAATTTTGATTTATTTTTTTATTTTTATTTTTATTTACATTCCAATTTGTTAATTAATTATTATTTAAAATTTAATTAGATGTGAATTAGGGTTAATTTAATTATTTTATTGATGATTGTTGGAGTATGTCGAGATACGTCATAGCATATTGAACCCGAGGGGTCAAAGACCCTTGAAAATTGAGGAGAAATAAAGTTGGTTTAATGCTGTACAATAGAACTAAAAGGATGAATTTGGAATTTAATTTCAATGGATTATCCGAGGCAAGTATTAGTCTCGATATATGCAAATTGATTATTGGTTGTGGTTTTCATGATCATGATTAATTAAAAATATTTACATGTGCTCGTTTATTTTAAATATGTAGTTTTTTGTGATCATTTGGAGTATTTGATAATTGAAAAACGTCCAATTTATAGAGAAGACTCGTTGAAATTTTGTTAGATGTTTAAAAAAATTTGTAATTAAATGATTGCGTGTTGCTTAAAAAATGCAAAAAAAAAAAAAAAAAAAGAAGGTTCGATCGTATATGAATAGATGTTAGGCTTTTTATGACATGTTGAATATAGCAAATAGATAGATTTGGCCTTGTAATTCCTATTATCCTTTGTGTTATAAATTAATATTTATATTTATTGCAACTCCTATTATTATGTCTATTTTTTTCAGCATAAGGAATTAGGTACTCAAATCCTTACGAGGTATTCCCGAACAGATCACAAACAAAGAGATAGATCATTCATCGACGAGCGATTCTAGACAATAAAGGTAAGGTTTTTATTTTTATAAATATACATCTATCAATATAATCTAAAAAATAAATATATGATTTAATATTATAATTATTTTAGTTACATAGGAGCGAGTGGAGTTATTGCAAGAAACGGTTGCTAAGCGAGGAGGAGGAGGAGGGTGATTCATAATCTTTAGATGTCAACATGACCAATATATAGCTTGATACTATAGGAGGGGAGAACAAACCGAGAATGTACATCTCGGAACACAAGTGTCCTAGTATTACTCTCATTCCGGCACTAGCTCGTCTTTCGCCACATCGCGAAACCCTAGTGGTAATGTTCAAGAGGTTATTGCTTAGTATGAAGATAGGATCGAAGGGATAGAGGTTGACTATGCTTGATGGTTCCGGATGCGAGAGGATAAATTTTAGTATATACACGATCGGATAGAGATGATGCGAGTGGCGTTACGAGAGCAATAGCAAATTTGCATCCCTCATGTTGAGCCCCCACTACCCAAGAGTCGGCCTTTCCTCCCAATACCTAGCAACCAAAATATGATGAAAGAGATGCTAATGATGAGGACTAGCTTTCTTGTTTTTTTTAAAGATTTTTTATGTTTTCATACGCTTGAATGCATTTATATATTTATTTGATTTGAATTTGTATTATTTGAATTTTATTAAATAATATTTTGTATTATAATAAAGTGTTATTTTTAGTTGTTTGCAACTACTATTAACATTAAACGACTATTAATTGATAAAAAAGTTCTTTTATTTAACGACGGATCAACGACCTAATTAGCGATAAAAAATAAATCATTTGTGATGAATATTAGCGACAAATATTGAAATGATCGCTAAATAGCGATGGAACTAGCAACGAATTTGCGAGAAAAAGTAGCATACTATATTTAGTGACGAAAATAAGGGAGAACAGCGATGGTTTTGCGAGAAATTTAAGACTTAAAAGATGACTATTTACATCGATTTAGCGATAAAAATACTTCAAAATAGCGACGGAATAATCATCAATGACTAGTACTTTCCGTCGCTAAAAAATTAGTGACGAGTCATTTTAGCTACAAAATAATTTAGTTGCAAATCCATTAATAAAAAATAATAGCAACTGAAATATTGGTATAGGACGAAAAATTTCGTCGCTATTTGACAGTTTTTTTGTTGTGTATAATTAACAAAAAGATGTAGAAATAAAGCGGCGTAAAGAAATTTTTAATTAAAAAAACTAATAACAAATAAAGTTATCTAAGGAAATAATTAAATTACATATAAATAAGTATATTGATAACTAATTAAAATCTATATTATATAAAAATAAATAAATATATAGAATAATATAAAATATACATTATTGGATTTATAAGGGACAATAACAGGGTAACCAAGGATCAAATACTAACCGGATCCAAAGTAAACGAATATTAATGTATAGTCTCATATCTGTTCCAAACTCTTTCTAAATTTGTAGGGTTTCGATGAGTGAAATGTCCTGTAATTATGATAAAATTGCCAGTATTAATGATAATAATTTAGTTCTAAGTTGTCGGCTTTCCATGGAAAAAGTACAAAAAAAAAAAAAAAAAAGAGTTTATTGTGCAAGCATGCATCTAAAAACTTTCTTCAGTTGCAGTATTATAATTAAAATTTCATGAAAGCATAATGACAAAAGTTCTTGTACATGAACCTATGTGGAACCTACCAATCATTTTTATTTCAATCTCTATCATAGAGATTTGAGGTACTACTTTTTAACTCCGTCATTTTAATGTCTACATTTTTTAACTGAAATTTCAAGAAAAATAAAACATTGAAAAAATAAATGTTTCTATATTTTAACTATTTAATTTAAAGCAAATCGACGTAGAAAAATTGTTTGCAAAAAGAGAAATGGATTAGATAGGTTGCCCTACTTTCTGTTATATATCATCAGATTAGATTTTTTTTTTTTTTATAATTAGTATAATAGATTGAGATTTTCAAACATTTGGTATTATATAACATTATAAAAAGAAAGGCTTTGGTAATGTATAGTTTCTCTATTTTTTTAATTGTTTTAATTGAGACAATATATTCTTTTTCGTATTGATTAAACTCTTTTATTTATTTTTTCTTCTTTTTATTATTACATAGTTAGTTGTGTGCTGATGTGATATTAACATTATATATTGTCATATGTAGAATTTCGATAAAGAGACTCAATCAAAACAATTCAAAAACTATAAGTTTCAATGAAAACAATTCAAAAACTTCAAAGATTAAATTATTTTTTTAATTTTCATGTTATTGTAGTAATTTTTTTTCTTAAAAATACTTTAGAGTTCTCATGTGATGAAGTTTTACATATAATACGTTTTGCAATATTCGAGATGAAATCTTAAAACCATAATATTGTGGAAATTAAAAAAGAAAAAAATATTATCCATGTACTTTTTGAATTATTTTGATTGAATCTTTTTATTGATATTTTATGAATGACACATTTCACATATTAAATAATAGATGTTTTACGTTAATACCACACTAACTAACAATTAACGGTATTAAAAAAGCAAGAACATAAAATAAAAAATAAAAATTAGAAGAACATAATTAATACAAAAAATAATATAAATTTTTAATAAAAATAATTCAGAAAAAAGTAAAAAGACAGTATATGATTAGAACCTTAAAAAAATTATATTATATAGAATTTCAGATCTAATTACGAAAATATAAAGAAATGCCAGCTAGAGTGGTCATCTCAAACAAAAGTATAAAATGGTTTTCTTCGATGGAAAAATATAAAATTGGGGATTAGACGGGTGAAAACATCATCATCATCCTAAAGAAAAACATGTATTCGGTAACTAAATGTTTCTCAACCTCTCATGAACTCCGTGGGGATGATTTGAAGGGCTTGCATGCGAGCTAATCGGACAAGAAAGACTGAAAATCATGGACGGCGCTGATTGGCATTTGGTAGTAACAGAATCACCGAGGCTTTATCACTTACGAGGGTAACAATTGAAGAACTTAGTGCTTTTAAGAAAATGCTAAACAACAAGTGATGATTATAAGAGACCAAAGTTTATGTTTTGATTTGGTGAATTTGGAGTCATTGCCACAGAAAGTCATTTACACCTGGCCCCATTCCTATTTCTTTAATGCTAACTTTTTCTCTCTTTAGGGACCCCACCCCTTCTCTCCAATTCCAATTTGCGCCCTTTATTTATCCTCTCAACACTCTTTTTAAGTCTCAGCCAAACCATTGCACAATCCAACAAGTTTTCTTTTGTTCCCACTCACCAGCCACTATTTTCACTCACAAACATAAACACATAAACTCAGAAAAGAACAGAGTGAGAAGAAGGGAAGGGAGGTGCTTTTCCATGGGCAACAATAGGTTTAGATTATCAGATATGATGCCTAATGCTTGGTTTTACAAGCTCAAGGACATGGGCAAAACAAGAAACCATAACACCACCACTCATTCCATAAAGAAAAAACAAGCTGCAGCTGAAACTCAGCAGCCACCATCCAAACCAAAGCATCCTCACTACAATCCTGATCCAAGAAAATCGTACTACATCACTAGAGAGCTTATCTCTAGTGACCAAAACATCCATAATTCTCCAAGAAACACAAAATCCACAGACACCCATTTTCCTGACCCTCCAAGAAGATCATCAAAACAAAGATCTAGGAGAAGAGCCATCAAGTCCTCTCAAAAGCTAGTCACCTCCTCTGTCTCTGCTGATTGCAACTGCCGCTCTACGCTCTGGACTAAATCAAATTCTCCTCCAGACTACTCAGCTTCTCTTTCTGATAGTTCTCTTGATCAGGAAGCAGATTTCTCTGACTCATTTCCACCAGAATTCAGGTCTGACAGTGTTCTTGCTACTGAGTCATTTGATAAGATGTTGCTTTGGTCAAGCTCTTGTGACTGCAAACTTGATTCTATAGATAATGATGACATTTTTGTCAGCGTGGATAAGAAATCTATTGCGAAGAAATTAGATAATTTGGATGTGTTTCATAACATACCTGATCTTGATCTCCCTCCAATCATAACAAAGCCTGCTAAATTTGATGATCAAGTTGAAGATAACAAGAAGAAAGAAACCCAAGAAGCAGCTAAGTATAGGAGAAGTTCAGCTAAATATGAGGAAACAAATACTCATGCTTCTTTATCTGCCGTTAAGGTTGTCAAGGAAGAGAGCATTACAGTGAAAGAACATAAGAGTACTAGCTCTGTCAGGAGAAATTCCGTGACTTCACCAGGAGTTAAGCTAAGAGTCAATTCTCCAAGAATCTCAAATAAGAAAATTCAGGCTTATAATAATGGTCGAAAGAGTGTGTCATCAACGACAAGTTCATTGTCGCGGTCGCGAAGAAGCCTGTCGGAGAGTTTGGCAGTTGTGAAATCTTCTTCTGATCCTCAGAAAGATTTCAAGGAATCAATGGTGGAGATGATAGTGGAGAACAATATCAAGGCATCAAAGGACTTGGAAGACCTTCTCGCTTGCTATCTTTCACTCAACTCTGATGAATATCATGACCTTATTATTAAGGTGTTCAAGCAAATCTGGTTTGATCTTACTGACAACAAGTTGAAGTGAAATCTTCAATTGTATATTACCTTTTTCTTTATTTTTCGAAATAACCATCTTGTTATTATCATATAATCTAAATCTAATATCAGATAATTAAGCACTTAGTTTATACTTTTATCTTGAGCAATTCTTCAGATTAGCAGAACTAAATTATGTCCAATTTATAAACAAGTCCTCTGTAATTTTTAATAGACTTGAGAAATTTTCAAGCCCTTTTGTTCTGCAAAAATATAAGGCTGTTTGTAATTGTAGACTTGGACTACTTTACAAAACCGCAAACTGTTGCATTTTTGATAACTTTGGAAACCGATGCTGGAAAACCATGGTTTTTTTTTTTTTTTTTCATCTTTTTTTGTGCTCCGTTAACTTTCAAAAAGGGGACAAAAAAGTAAGATGCAAGATTACCTTGTTATGTCATGCATGCTATTGCTAGCTAACAACCACTGTAATTGACTAATTTCCAACAAACCAACAAGTTATTAGATATTACTGTCCCAAAATCAGCCTAAATCTTCATTTCCTCTTGATTCTGTATCTGTTCAGTAGTTGGTTTACTAAATTTTTTGCATGTGAATCCACATAAAATTAAAGCTAACATCTTTTTGAAGAGTGGGTTAATGTTAGTCCTCTTAACTTCTTATTCCAAAGAGACCACAAGACAAGAAATATGCTTTCTCAGTGCATCCATGAACAAGAACAAATGACAACATTGTAAATTATACAGTACATAAATGGATGCAAGGGACCCCCTTAGATACAATATCTGACTCAAACTTCAGTTTTTTCCACCAAAAGAAGATACCCTTTAAGGACAAGATTCAGTTTTCTTTTGTTTCTTCAAAATCTAGAAGCCCTTTCTTTCTCTCTCACTCTACTCTCTAGGCAGTATATTCAGCTTTCAGTACACTCCCGTTTTTACAGAGAAACACTAAAAAGAAAGAGAACAAAAGCCTGCTAATTCAAAAAATGTTTAAAGTTGATCAACAATGGGTAATAAAGAAAGAAAGAAAAGGTACTAAATTCAAATTTCTACACATAGTATGAAACCAAAACAACTTTTGTTGAGAACTATATACACACATCTATGGTATATAGACTATTGCAAGAAGCTTTCAAAATTTTCACAACGTTGCCTAAAGTTGAAATTTTGCTCTCTTAAAAAAGTAAAAGTTGCATAGAAGATGTCAAAAGCTGAATTCACTTTCAATGCCTGGGGTAGAGCATGCGCAAATCCACAGTCACAGATGAAAAAAGAAAAACTAGTTTACAAAATTGAATTAAATTGTAAGTTGCTAAGGAATTTTTTTTAAAAAAAATATTTAATAGTTGATTAGAAAGCACCAAGCTGGTTGAGTGTTGTATCTTTGTGGGACAAGGAATTCCATGCTTGATTGACATACCAAACAAAAGGGAAAATAAAAATATTATCTCACTTCAAAATCCGTAGTTAAAGGTCCCTGATTTTGGGGTTTCAACAGTTTGGTTAGAAATTTGCATGTTGAAATCTGTAAGCCATTGACTTTCATGCTTTAATTTTGTTAAAGTGGAGGGTAATTTTGTGTTTCTTGTCTAACAGCTCTCTAATTATTTTGCATGCATAACCAGGGAAAGTATAGCTGCTCACAAGTTTCATTGGCCAACCAGATGGGAAATTGTAATGAGAAATCTTATTTTAATTGCGTCATAGGAGTGCTACCTTGGGCAAAACACGAGGGAGAGGAGAGGACAATACTCATAATTGCTAACCCAACTCCATCATTTTTTAAGTTTCTAAAATAACTTATGAAAAGAAAATTTCAAGGATAATGAGTTATTTTGATATACAAGAAAAAAAAAAACATAAATTAAGAATTTTTATCATTAAAAAAATAAGAACAAAGATTTTATCACTTATAGAATAGTAAAGTGAAATTTATTTTATTATAATAAAGTGAAATTAACATTTGATGAAGTGAGAATAACATTATCCAAAATAATAAAAATAATTGAATGATTAAAAGTAAGAATAATAATAAGGATATGAATTATTCCAGGATAAGTTGTATATATTACAATAACTTAATGTAACAAGAACTCTACCGTAATTCTATCTTTATCTTTGAGACTCCGTTTAAAAAATTTATTGTACTACGTAATAAGTGTGAAAGTTCCTTGCAATTCATTCTTGGTTTCTTCATGGTATCAAAGTAAATATAACCTTAACAACCGTTGCCCAACTTTGCCCATATACGTCTCTCTCTCCTTTATTTTATTTTTTTCCTAACCGGATCATTGCTCGCCGCAATTTCTTATTTCCTTCTCTCTCCACATACTTCCATAGCTAAGACATATCGACTACAACTCGTTACTATCCTTTCCCTTCGACCATACACTACCACTAATCATAAACAAACAATATCTCAAACTTGCCTTTGTCTCTTTTTCTTCTAGCCCGTTACTCGTTCATCATCATCTTCCTTCGAAAAACATCATATTCAACCCTTTTCTTTTCCAACCCATTATTGTTTATCATCTTCTTTCTCCAAAGAAACATCATATATATCCCCTATCATGCCATCTTTCTCTTTCTCTAAATCCAATGACCTTCCTTTAGAATCCATCAACCATGCCATTACACACATTAAATCTCTCCCCTACGTCCAACATCAACTCTCTTTCAAACTCAACTCCACAATTACCTTCTGGCTCACCTAAATTACTCTCGTTCTCCAAGGCTATAGAGTCACGAATCATGTCGATGGTTCTAAAAACCCATCATCTACTTAAGTTGATGAAGCTCCTAACCTATATTATCAAAATTAGTTTATCAAAGACCAACCGGTACTAAGTCGGATAATTATCTCCCTCTTTGAAAGCGTTATACACAAGTAGTTGGGGTAATCTCTCGCTCAAGAAGCATGACGAAACCGGCTTCCACCTATATATTTAGATCTCGAGCTCATGTTTGATAATTAAAATCCCATCTTCATCAATTAGAATGAAGGAATGATGATATCACCACTTATATATAGCATGTCAAGCACATCTCAAATCGACTTGCAGCCCTTTAACATCCAATCTCGGAGGATAATCTTGTTGATGCTATTTTGTATGGTCTTGGATCCGATTATAGGCTTTTCACATGTAACATTAAAGCTCACCTACAATCGGTTAGTTTTGATGACCAATTTGGTCTACTATTGAGTGAAGAAATCTAATTAAAAAGAGAGAGATGTCTCTCCTCTACTAAAAATCTTGTGCACTCGCCCATTATACCCGATCCACAATTCTTTAATTTTCGTAGAAGAGGACGTTGGAAGGGATGTGGCCGCTTCTCTAACCAACTAAACTCCCACATATCAATTGGTTACCCTCGATAATCGCCCGCACCACCACATGCCATGACACCAACTTGCTACAATTATCATTGGCTTAGGCATCTCGGCTTTGCTTGCCCTTCCCCCAAATATACACCAAACACTCGACCTTCTCTATTTTCCACTCCCACATCTCATCTAGCATCCACCCAAACTAACTTCAAATGGGTTCTCGACGATGGAGCTACACATCATCTCTCGACTCGATCTTAATAATTTAGCTCTTCATTTTGAATACTTGGGACCTAAAAAAGTTACAATAAGCAATGATAATACCCTCTTGATCTCTCATATTAGATCTTTTTCCTTTTCTTTGCATAATCATTCTTATGCTCTTAGTCATATTCTTCATGTGCCTAATTTTTATCGAACTTATTATCCGTATTTGCTTTTATTAGATCTAACAATGTCTCTTTATAATTTTTTCCTAACTATTTCTTGATTATAGATATCCGCATGAAGAAAATCCTCTATAAAGGACCTATAGATAATGGTCTTTACACCATGCCAATTAAGTTTCGATCTCATCTCATCCTATCCAAGCATACTCATGCAAGTATTATCACGTGGCATGTTCGTCTGTGTCATGCATCAATGCGCATTATAGCAAAAAATTTTAGTCAATCGAGTATTTTTGTTGCTCATAACAATAAACATACTTTGTGTCATGCTTACCGTATTAGCAAAGCATGTAAAATTTCTTTCTCTCGTTTCTACTTCTTTAGCACAAGCTCCTTCAAAGATAATATATTCCGATTTATAGAGATGATCTCTAATTCAATCTTTGTAAGGTCATAACTATTAAATTGTATTTTATAATCGTTACAATAAATATAGTTGGATCTATTTTCTCAAATACAAATTTGAAATTCTTAATTGTTTTATCAAACTTTAGCATCTAGTTAAAAAAATTCTTCAACAGATCCATCAAAAATTTTTAAGCCGATTAAGGGAGTGAATTTCAAAGCCTAACATCTTACTTATCTAAATCCGGCATTGTTCCATGTTCTTCATGTCCTTGCACATCGAACGAAATGGCTATGCTAAAAGAAAGTATAGACACATCAATGAAATTGGTAGAGCATTACTTCATCATTCATCCATCCCTTTACACTTCTAGGATCATGCCTTTTCCATTATTATCTATTATGTCAACCGTTTTCCTACACCCTTACTTAATCATAAATCTTCTCATGAAATTCTTTTACAAAAAGTTTCAGTTTATGATTATTTGCGTGTCTTTAGTTGTCTCTACTATCCTTAGCTACGATCATATGCCAATAAAAAATTAAAACCTTGTTCGATCTATTATGTTTTTCTTAGGTATAGTCTATTGCATAAAGGGTATAGGTGTTTAGATATTAAATCTAATAAAATCTATATCTCATGATATATTGTTTTCGATGAATAGGTTTTTCTATTTAAAGATGCCAATGAAGGTGTTAAGTCCACCGTAAAAAATCTAACTATAGCCCCAAAGTTACCGACATCATGTCGTGCTCTAAAAGCACATGCATTTATCTTCTTTCCAATTCCTCTATAAATTTGATCGCCCACACATGCCTAGCCTACTTCAAAACAAAAAAAAACCACTCAACCCCCTATCACTCTAACGCGGCTCGCTAAACACCTAGTCCTAAACTCCACTTC